TTTTTTTTATCTTAAACCATTTTGTGACTCATTAAAAAAGTTTATAGTTTTATATGATTTGTTTGTGGAATTTTGTCACATTTTGTTTGCCAGTCAGTAGGTTCTGTTGTTTTGTTAGTCCATCAGTTTGTGATAAATTATCGTGTTTCCACATGTGCCTTTGTGTTTTTTCTATGGTTCGTTTTATATTGACCGATATTGTGTTGCATTTTAAAAGAAACTCACTGCACTGTTAAGGAGACTGATCAAAATAGTGTTACCAGTGATCGATTACCTACAAAAACAGACAAATTGACTGATAATAGGTCAAACAGCACATCCAAGGAAGAGTTGCAGGAATCGAGAAGTCAAACAATTTTGATATATTGGTAAGTTTTAAGACGAGTTACAAATTTGCAAATAAAATGGCTTTGTTTACATTGAGCGCAGACCCACATTTCAGTCTTGCATGTCAGCGGAATTGAAAACCTACTGCAGTAAACTAATTAAAATAGCACTTTTTAATACCATTCAGGACGATTTTATGACCTTTAGCATTTGAATTCTGGAAACATTTGAATTAGTTTGCATCACTTTAAAGCCAATTATTGTCAGTTTGTGTCATTTGGTCCTTATAGTTTTCCCTTTTTTAACATCTCTTTATGTTTTGATTACCAATTACTTGTTTATGAGATCATTTTTTGACATATTTCCATTTCCTTTCCCAACTAGTTTGTCTTTTTCTACATAAAAACAAAAATATGGTTAGTTGCCTCTTGCCGCTGTTCATTCACTTCATATTTGTCGTTTTGCTGATCTGAAAACAAACCGAAAGACTACTTAGGTTCGACAAAGAAACAATAAAAGATCATGCCTATCATGGTTACAATGTGTCACTGTTTATTTACATGAAAACAACACAATAATACACAAATACATTGTTTACATGTAACATGGTATACACAGAGGTGCCATAATGTATGAAATCATTATGAAGCACAGAAAACATGTCTTTAAAACAACACGTGTTCCCACATAGCTGCAACAACACCAACAGCTTTGTTTGGATTGTTGGTCCCGCTCTGAACAAAACAGTTTCCAAACATAAAAAATATAAAAAAATTGGTCATCTCATATACAAAAATACGCAGATAATAAAAAGCTTTTCGTCCCCAATAGCAAGTGTATTGTATACATCGTTGACTGAATAATACCATGTTTGATTAGTTTTCTTCTCAGTAACATTTCTCCTCCATTACAGCAGCTGCTAAGTTCTTTATAAAAACACAAAGTTGAGTTTAAATAGTTTTGTTATTGGTCACCGGTCTCCAAAAAGGTCAAAGTAATATAATATAATAT